TTAATTCGAGTGTGTACTGTCGATAACTGGATGAATTAAATAATTCTAAAGAAACGTCCAGAACTAGTGAGTCGCAAAGAACTCATTAGATCCTATTCATTGGATAAAATTCTTTGAAAGGAAAAATCTTTGTTACGAATCAATTTTTCGCCGCAAAAAGGACTTTGTTTTTGAGCACGGAATTCTGAAGCTGCCAGAGTAACGGCTCGAAATGATCGGTACTTTGATTATTAAATAAACTTGTCGTTTTGTATCATTTACTAAACCGTTCGATTTAGACTCGTCACGTTCAATATTCTCAAATTGCAATTGATTCGAGAGCGGATGATGATGTTTCAGCTGAGCGACGGCACGGTGTCGGAAGCGCCACGCCGCGTGGCCATCGAGGGAGGTCCCGGAAGTGGAAGGACCACACTCTGCCTCCGGCTTCTCCACCAGTGGGCGATCCAAGGCGACAGCCCGGCTCTGGCGTTCATCGTTCCCCTCCGTGAACTTCGAGGCAGCCCGGTGCTGAATTACTTGGCCCGAGAATTATTCCCGAGGACGGCGGCGATCGGCGACGCGATGGCGCAAGTGTGGCGCACGTTGCACTTAATGGAGGACCGTGTGCTGTTTATTCTGGACGGGTACGACGAGTGCGTGGGAGGCAGAGCGTCCCTGGGCGACGCGATAGACCTTCTCGAGGGACGTTTGTTCCCGGACGCGAGGATTCTGGTCACTTGCTCGCCGAGCAACTCGGCCGTACTGTCGCCTCTGGTTCAAAGGAGGATCCATCTGGCCGGGCTCGAGTGGCCCCACGTCGAGAGGCTCTGCGTCGCGTATTTCATCCACAACGACATCGCCGAGAAGGCCTGCGAGTTCCTCGAAGCGCTGAACGTACAGCCACAGGCGGTGAAACAGCTTGGTCAGCACCCTCTCGGCTGGATCATGCTCTGCTGTCTCTACCAGGTATTTATCACAGATGGTTAGAGGAAAATCGGAGAATAGAACGGATGATCGATCGCGGTGGTACGGACCACCCACGGTTACCTTAGCAGTTGGGAGATGAAAGTGTTGAAAGTTTGCGAAACAAACCGAACAATGGACTCGATAAAAGCGGTCTTCTGTCTGTTGTTTGCACGCTCTCCGATGCGAAGCTCACGAAAGCCCCGGGAGAGCTCGCGAAAACACGTCGGCGCTTTTTAAAGCTCTCTCTCTCTCTCTCTCTCTTTCTCTCGTTCGACAGGATTCAGGAAGCTTGCCGACGGAGACCAGCGCGCTGGTTCAAGCGGCTGTGAAGTGTATCGTGAAGAGGAGCCTGGACCCACCAGTCCCGTACAACGAGGAGATCCCGGCTCATTGCAGGAAGCGACTGGAGGATTTCGGTAAGGTGTCTCTGGCCGCGCTGAGAGAGGGCAAGTGTTGCTACACCGAGGCTGAACTCCGGGCCAGAGGCGGCGGCGTGGAAGTTACCAGGCTAGGTTTCCTGACCAAGGGGCTGACCTTCGGGCAACGACGGAAGCCAGACTTGTACACGCCGATTCACATGGCCGTGGCTGAATTCCTAGCGGCGTACTACCTAACCTCCGTGGCTCAGTACGCCAATATCCTTCGAAGGGAGTTGGAGGGGCTGCCCTCGGGGATCATTGGTCATCTGGCTGGTTTGCTGGGACCCAAGACGCATTTGATACTGAACCAGCTGTGCCCGCTCGAGGTACCGCCGCGAGCGGTGTTTTCGTTGCTGAAAGCGGCCGGTGCCTCGGACGGGAACATATCCGCGGTGTGCAGATTGGTCGGCGCTGGGCCTGGATTCGGTCCAGCGCCCAACGAGAGGCCCCCGGCGCCTCTGGTGCACACTTCGCCGCTGGAGCTCGAAGGATGGGCGAGGATCCTCGAGAGTCCGGCGTGCACCCTCGAAGCGTTGGAGGTGGTGTTCCAGGTGGAACGGGGCTCCGATCCCAGATACCTGGACGACTTTTTCGAAGCCCTGGCCGGCAACGAGAGCGTAAAACTCGTGAGAATCACGTCGCTCCTTGGCCAAGAGTTCCCCGCGGACGAGGCGCAGAAGTTGGCCGGACACTTGAAGAGCGTCCTCGGCAAGAAGAAGCTGAACGACTTCGAGCTGGTTATAACCTGTCTGGAGGAAGCGGCGCACGATAGGTAAGTCCCTCGTCTAATTTTTCCAATTATCGTCCCTCCAAACGATTTTCTTGCAAAGCGTGTACGAGGATCGCGGAACTCGTCGTTTCGAGAAAGACGTCGCGCTCGTCGCTTGGCGCGATGAGAGAGCTTATTAAGACGTTTGAAAAAAAGTCAAGAGGCGGCGCTTTTACGCTTGCCTTTTCCAAAGGCGAAAAACTACGCGAGTTCGAAGACGAAAGGTTCGCTACGCGAGGAGACGTCGCCGGCAAGTTTTCCCGTAAGGTAACCGCGCACACCAACGGAGACTGTTCGTTAAGCTGACAGCGAAAAAACCGTCGAGCCGTTTGCGCGCGAACGTCGAGCAATATCGGAAAGTGGATTAAAAAAGTTCCCCTCGTAGAGAAAAGTACGCGTACATGGACGAACAAATAGATCAGTTTTTAACTCTAGGTAGCGAGAGACCCGTCCCGACGACTGCACGCGAGGCAGCGTACCAAGCCGGTCTATGAAATATTTACAGCTATTAATAACGAACGTCCGCTCGTTCACGGCGCCAGAAGAACTCCCGAGAAACTACCCTCGTTACAGAAGATCTGTAAGAGAGGTTTTACAAATTTTCAAACGCGCTCGAACGTTTTTTACGAATCTCAACCAAACGTTCCGTCTCGCGCGCAAAACTGACGCTTTGAAACAACGTGTTGTCGCGACGCTCGCTCGATCGTACGCGATTCTGGGAAATTTCTTTCGCCTCGCGGCGGATGGCAGGTCAGAAAGTGAATTAAAAAGTTTACTTCTCCGTGACAGCGAGGAAGACATTTACCCTCCACGTTCCGCAGCGAGTGTGGAGTTCACAGGGTGGGAGAAATAGCGTGTTTACTCAAGGTAGTAGAGTAGGAATATATAGTAGACGAAGGGTGGCGATGCTTCGAGTTTCCATTTGCATAACCGTTCTAGTTTCTCGTATATGCGCCGCGCTGGTTTCCAGCATTTTTTCCCCCGGCGAAGAAGAGATCGAAGCGATTGCTTTCGATGTTAACGATAATTCTCGGATATCCCTGCTTCTATCTTCCTGCTCGATTTTCCGTGCGCGCGCAAAATTATATCCAGCTTTCCTCGTTTTCTGCTCAAAACGAGATCGAGCAAGATCCGGAAGACCGGTCGAATGAATTCGAACGGGGAAACGTACCGAGCCGGCGAGCGCTCTTCGTCGGATCTTCTTATTCCGAGGAGTGACTCTCGGGAAATTTTCAATTCTCTAGCACGTCCTCCCGCGGAGGAGGAGCAAAGAACTCTAGACGAACGAAACTCGAGAGGATGTTCTTCCCCGAAATAGCGTCGGCTAGCGTCGGAGAGGTTTCTCACGCGTGGCACCCGTAGCGAGAAAGCCCTGGTATTCGATATTCGAAGCACGAGGTTCGCGAGCGCGCGCCCCCCCCCCCCCGCCCTCTCTCCCTCCTTCCAAACGCGGCAACAAGAGCACAAGGTAACAATGAACGGCCGTCGAGA